CTTTATCAGTAGAAGCCAATATGGCGGAATCCTAAAACAATCGCAGTAAGAAATCTTGGAAATCCAAAATTTCATTTATAGGAGTAAAGATGAAAAAGTGTGACACAGTTACATACATATATATATATATATATATATATATATATATATATTATTTGGACTATTGTCGCCATCATTGTCACTATATTTATCACAACGCTTCGGCCATTGAACACTCCGGCCATCTTCAGGTGGTTGGAATGTTGCTCACTGGGTTAGACTGTTCTAGTTCCACTTGCCATGTTTAATGGATGTCAGTTATTTCCTGTTAATTTCCTTCTGAAAGTTCTCCACTGCCTTAACCGGGTATTGAAATCACACTCTTTGGGTCCTGTCACTGGGTCTTTATCCACTGTGCCATGTGGACATCTGTGTATGAATTTCTGGGTATTATAAACCTAATATCTCAGCAACCATTTTCACCATTGCTTATATTGCAATTTTTGCTGTTATCGTTCATGTTTTTACCAGTGCTCATATTGCAATTTTTTGCTGTTATCGGTTCATGTTTTTACCAGAGCTCATATTGCAACTTTTGTTGTTATTATTGCTTTTCTCTTGCACTCCTTATTAATGGTTAAACATGGCAATTGGAATTAGAACAGTCTACCCCAGTGAGCGAAATAAAGGGTTCAGTTCGACATTCCAACCACCCGAAGAAGGTCGGAGCGTACAACGGCCGAAACGTTGTGATAAATATGGCGACAAAGATGAAGACAATAGTCTTAATAATGTAAATAGTGTACATAATATATATATATATATATATATATATATATATATATATATATATATATATATATATATATATATATATATATATATATATATATATATATAAAAGACATTTTCATGTTTATACATTCTTTTTATAAATAAAAATATTTAAGTAAATGCTCTGTTTATAATAAACAGTATTAAATAACATTTACCGGCCTGAATGTCCGAGAAATTTTCACAGAAAATATTCGTCCTCCGACAGAATTCGAACCTGTATCCTATACGGAACCGTCATTTAGCTTGACGTGCCTTTACCGATTAGGCCACAAAAGAGCGTTCGGTTTGCAAGGAAATTAACAGGAGATAAGTGATAACTGACATACATATATACAATTCAGTATTTGGGCAGTTTCATTATTCTAGGAAGTTCCTTAAAGACGACTGACAAGGTACCGCAATTAAGTTTTTAATTTTTTTCTGTCTTCGTATCATTTTGTTTTCATTTTTGGACATAAACTATGCACAAATTGTTCGAATCTTCTGTATGTCTAAGGATGGTTTTTATTTATATTTTCAACTAAGGTAAACAATAGCAAGTGTAAGAATTCTAAGCAAATCTGGGGTTTCCATGGATTGGCCGGAAACTGAACAGTCGTTTTGAAGTTCTTGATTGTTCCTTTTATTTTTATTTTGCAATTTATTTTTTTATTTTATTTTAATTTTTTTTTTTCAGACCATCGCATCTTCAATCGTTTGGCATACAGTCAGAATTAAGCTCCCCGCAAAGTTTGGTATTGCGTAAAAGTAAAAACCGTCATGAACGAAAGGAGATGTTAGAGCATGAACGAGATTGAGAAGAACGCGATGAGGCATTTCATGATGATCCCGAAGAAGGATGTTGCAGTCTATGTTGGAATGTAGTGGGGGGGGGAGATTTTGGGAAAAGTATGTGAGGTCCCAAGGCGCTTATGCCTTCGTACCTAATTTTTTTCCCTTAACATTAAACAGATGGGTCAGTTTCAGACTACAGGAACACAAACACACAAATACATACACACACACACACACAGCTACGTGTCTGTGTGTGTGTGTGTGCGCGTGTGTGTATGCTATACAAATGGCATCATATATGTATATTTATAATAATAATGGTTCCATGTGGTTCTAGTGAGCATGATATAAATATATATATCGTCAAATAGTATCTAAATATATATATATCCGTCAAATAGTATCTTACTTACTCTCTCTCACTTTACACCCCCACAAACCTCTCTCTCTTTCTCTCTCTCTCTCTCTCACACACACACATATATATATATATATATATAAACAAATAAAATGTTCAGACTTAAAGCAAAATAAGTTTTTAAAAAAAATTATCGATGCTTTATTTTTTAAGTGTTATTATATATCCATTTTTCTTATTCTTTCTTCTTTTTATTATTACATACACACACACACACACACATATATATATATATATATAAATATATGTTATCATCATATATATATATATATATATATATATGATAACATATAGTTTTAATGTATACTATGTTTATGGGTTAAAGTGCACACTATCAGGGATAGAGCGCATGTAAATATAAACGTACACACTGAGGTCAACACCCAGCAGCAGCAGTCATTTTCATGCCTATATATATATATATATATATATATATATATATAATAAAAACAATTAAATCCTTTTACCGCATATGGGAAATAGGCTATTTCGGCAGACGGCGAAAGTTGTCGTCTGTCTTTTCAACCTCGGCGTGGAATGAAATGAGTTCATGTCTGCCACGTTATGGCTGTCGTCATGTTAATCTGTTTATTAATGTTATATATTGAGCACTTTACAAATATTGATCGACTTAAAAGCGTTATCTTGCAGAATTTCTCTGGTTGACCCTTTTTGTTGTATCTTTTATATACCGTCTCTCTCTCTCTCTATCTATCTATCTATCTATCTATTATATATATATATATATATATATATATATATATATATATATTAGAGTTGGTGCAAAAAAGATGACGTAATAATGTCGTTTTTGACTTAAAAACGTCAAAAACGACATTAGTACGTCATTATTTTTGCACCAACCTAATATATATGGGGTGTGGTGTGTGCATGTGTGTGTGTATGTGTTTCTATGTATATTATATAATATGTATATATATATACAGGGTGTCCCAAAAATTGATATAATTTAAATTTTGAATATCTTAGTAACTAAATGTCCCAGGCAAACGAAATTATATAGGCTTTACTTTGAATGATGAAAGATTTATTTAGCAAAATTAGAACATGATATTCAAAGGATGTAGATTTTATAACCGAATTAAACAAAGCTTCATAAATGTTCATTAGGCGCACCACCTGTGACACGACACACGTCAAGCCGGTAGTCCAACTCCTGCCAAACACGCTGTAGCATATTACCCCATACTAACTTAACTAAAATTTAAGTAAAAGAGATTACTTATCTAGAAACAGTCACGAGTTAAATTCATGAACAAAATTC